TGCTCGTGCACGGGTACTAACTTGCAAGCTGGTCAAATTTCCTGCAGCAACACTTTTCTGAATAAAATGCACGATGGAAATTTCCAGAGAGAAATGCATACATCTGGGGAGAAATTCCAATAATAATATGGATACTAATGAAAAAAGGTGTAACTCCTCAGAGGTCGGTGAAAATAATCTTTCAGTGCATTGTATTAAGGGATATTTTTTTCATCAAGGCATATATTGAGGGAGCCCATACGAGAACTGCTATGAGAACCTGGTGTGAAAAGTAATGCAAGAAAACGAGGAATGGAGGCAAAGGGGATGTGCAGCGCCCCTTCTTCGATGTCGCGGGGCTCGTGGCGTTGTCCCAGCCCACGTCTCCGCATCGCCGCGTGCGGAGGAAGACCCGCTCATCCTGCTACGATGACTGTCTCTTTTCTCTTCCGCAGGCACGTGCTGAGAACACAGGGCAGTCCCTGGCTCCTTGCATGGTCCTCGCCAGGAAATATTCCTTCAATGCGCAAATACCAGCTCAGTTGGGAAAGGAAGCAGCCAGGAGGCAAATGCCAAGCTCTGTTTGTCTTTGACATGCAAATAAACCACAAAACACAGTTCTCCGTGGTCTTCCTCATTTCTTTCCTGCAGACGGCAATGGATGGACCTACAGCCCCTTCCCTTGCCCGGGCTGCTGGCTGACCCTGGCCTCTCCCACGGGGTTGACCAGCTCCTTTGCTCGCTCACGCGTGCTTGGCTGGGCACTGCTTGGGGACTGTTGGCACCAGCCCAGCAGTTGCCCGCCTTTCCACCAGTAAACAAAACAAGGCCCAAAGGTGTCTGTCTGCCCATCATTAGTCTCAAAAGAAATAAAGCACCCTAACCCGCAGAGGGCCAAGTTTTCGTACAGCCTCTTCCCTCCCCTTTGAGTAAATCCCCCCCTTGCTGTCCTAGCCAGCCACAAAGAGCTTTTCCCAGGCAGGCGCTCTTCACTCCTATTTCTGAGGAGCAGAAAGTGCTGCTTTGGGAGATGGTCCTCAACAGCCAATGGTTTGCAATTGAGCCACAAAATCTGGCAACTGGCAAGACGGTTGAGAAGTCGTTACGTTGCCTGATGGATTGCTTTATAGATTAATGCATAAAATTACTCTGTTTGGACAAGAAAGGTGAGATCAGGAGGTCAGACTTGCCTTTCCCAATGAGAGCCACATTTTGCATTCCAGTTTCCATTGAAAACACGGAACTGGCTGGGTCCAGTGCCCCTTAAAGCTGCCATAAACTGATGCCCCATTTCACAACCGTGTGCTGCTCTCCTGCCATCTTGAGAGAAATGGGACGCCTGTCTTTTGCAAACGGTGGAAATAGGGCTGAAAAAGGGGCCAGGACCTGAGTGGCCCCTTTGGGGGCACTTGTTTCCTCACCTGTGCCCGGGCACCTGCTGGGCCATGAGTGGCCGGGGGGGGGGAGACTCCTCGAGTCAGAGCTGTACCTGTTCTTTCTGGAGCCAGGCTGGCTGAGGACGAGGGCAGCCAGGGAAAACAGCCCGTCTTGCGTAAGTCTTTCCGGCTCTCCCAGTGGCTTTCAGGCATGTTTCTTTTATTTATTTATCTATCATATTTACAAAGCCCCCCATCTCACACAAGGTGACTCTGGGCGGCGTACAACAATTGAATGTTTCCTCTTATCCATGCTGTATCTTTACACCTTTGCTCTGCCTTTAACTCACACGTGGTTCACAACACCCACCGCCACCTTTGTGCCACTTTTAACTCATGTGTGGTTCACACTGCATGAGAACGGTCAGAAGCAGACCAAGGAGGTGGCCTCGCGCATCCGGCTCTTCCCCGGTCTCGGGTACAGAAAGGCTGGACTTTTCAAAAGACAAAATCTGCGCCCAAAGAACTTCTCCAGCGGCCTCTGCCAGGGGCCCAAAGGATGCATCTCCTGGCTGTTTCCCAGGCGGTTATCATGGCTCTCCCATTTTGGCTGCCAGAAACAAGCAGCAGCGTGTTCCCAAATTGGGACAGAAATCAGAGCTTTCCTTCATGGGATTTACAGCACCCGACAAGACCTTCTCCTTGCCCTGCTGCTTTTAATCTTTCAGCCATGTTGTCAGCAAAGTTATCGTGTGGTTATTTCACTTGCCGCACGCGTGTTCCCAAATTTGAAGTCTGGCAGCTGGTAAGAGTCCTTATTTAAAAAAAATGGAAAAGGAGCCGGGAACTTGATTGATCTAAATCTGAGAAAATGTCCCAAGAGGAAAGAGAAGCTGTGGCTAAGTTTCTGTACAATGAAGATTGCAAAACCTTGCAGAACAAGTTTAGTCCTTACCAAAGTTTGCATAATTTTTCAGTTTGATCATGATAACAACGCTGGCCATTGCACTATTGGTTCCTTATTCTGAATTAAAAATCGGGTTCTGCAGACGAACAACCAGCAGGAAAAGAGGACCACTTGGAGACATCCCGCTGTTGTAATAATCCGATTTTTCCACTGTGGCTTTGCTTTGAAGCAGATGAGCGTGTCTCCCTCCAGAAACAAAGAAATGCCCACGAGCAGCTGAACCGACAGGCATGTGCCCTGAGCAACAAGGAAGCGGTTTGCACTGTTGCAACTGTTGACTTTGGAGCCCCTGCTTAAAAAGGGGAAAGCCGCAGCCAGCACATCTGAAGGCTGAGGGACTCGGCAGGCTGCGGGCAGAGCCAAGGTGCCACGATGCGGAGTGCTGGCAAGCAAGCGGGTCTCTTCCTGCTCTGCCTGATGACCGCGACCTACGGAGGGGCGCCGGAGCCATCTTGCCCAGGTGAGGCTCTGAGGAGGATGGCCAGCCTTCCCGCCCTTCGGAGACGGGAAATTTAGCTTCGCGCAACCCCCCCCCCAAAAGGTGGTTTTTCATTCCAAACGTCGTTCTTCCTTTCCAGAAGCAAAGGTGGTGGGCCTGGGGGACACCGAGAAGATCGCCATCCTCCGGGGATGTCCAGGCTTACCTGGAGCAGCAGGCTCCAAGGGGGCCTCAGGTGTTCCCGGGGCCAAAGGTGGGTCTGTGGCAGAAGGGCCAAGCTGGCTTCTGACTCTGTCGAGTCCAAAGGAAGCGGCGTGTCTTGCGTGGTTCTGGAGGGCATGGCCTGGCTTGCCGTAAGGCAGAAGGAACGCGTGGGAATGAAGGCAGCCACAGGCAGCCCGATGGGGGAACGGAGCCCCTTTCTTCTTGGCACCAGAGCTGTCCAAATTCCCTCTCCCGAAGCTGGCAACCCCTTGGGGTTAGCCATCTGCTCTGGTTTACGCATGCGCAAAATGCAGAGCGGTGTGCGGGGGGCTGCCCAGCCAGCTGTGTTTTAGGACACCAGCCCCTAACCAACACCCTGGGAAAGCGGGGCCTGGAAGCCTCACTTTGCTTTTCCTTAACAGGCGAAAAAGGCCTGCAGGGAATCCCTGGGAAAATTGGACCCCCCGGGCTGAAAGGTAAGGTGGCCACGCGAGGGATGCCGGGGCTGCGGGGGGGGGGCACAGCTGGTGGAGAGAGAGGAGCGATTTGTGGAAAGAGGACGCTCCCAAAGCAGAGGCACTGAAACTGGGGTGGGTGGGTTGCCTGAGTTAGAAGGTCAAGCCACCCCACCCGCCCCAGCCCTCACCCGTCAGCTCTCCTTCAGCCCGGGCAGGAAAATGGTATTTGTGCCTCCTGGGCTGGGTCGGGGCCAGGGCTGGGAAAAGTTGAGCCCAGGAGGACTCAGATGATTTTCTTCCCCTTTGATTCAGGAGAAAAAGGTGACTTGGGAAGCCTTGGAGCAAAAAGTAACCGATTGAATGTGCTGCTCTGGGACCAGCCCCTTGGTGCCATCACAACCCCATAGCCGCTAATTGTGTTTGTGCAAATCACAAATGATTTCACTAGCTTTTGCAATAGTCAAAAACGTTGACCTCAACCATGCCCAAGACATTTGTAAAAGGGAACGGACCCCCCTGCAAATTGCTCATGAGGCCCTGGGGGTGAGCAGCCCATGGGGAGGGGCTCTTGGTGTTGGGGAGAGAGCGTGACACCCATTTCTTCCCAGCAGATTATATTGGACAGTGTGCAATTTTCCCTGGGGAGGCACTTCTCTCTGGGACTCTGCCAACAAGGGGGTTCTTCTTAAGCTGCTTGGCACCCCCTCTCAAGACTGAGTGAGGTCAGAAAGAGGAGGAACACCGTGTTTCTCTGTTTGTTCCCAGGAAATAAAGGCGACCCGGGTGACAAAGGAGAAGTTGGTAAGAACTGCGCCCCCTCCCAGGGCAAGAGCAGCAGGAACTGCTGTGGGTAGCAGCCTCAGCCAGGCTGCCTCTTCTTCCAAGCAAAAGGGCCCTGGTTGAATCGTGCCCCCCACTGAGTCCAGCATGACTTGAAGTTGCAGCTAAAAAGGACTCCCAGCCATGGCGCACCAGACGTTGTTATGCCGAGCGTGGCTGAGCCTCTGTCCTCTAAGTCAGCAAGGCGGGACCCCCCTCCTGAGAATGTTGCCTGCCGCATGGGTGGGTGGGTGACGTTGGTCCACAGGGGGAGGAATTGGCCATAAATCCCAAAGGAAAGAACAGGTGACCGGCCGAAAAGGGAAGTCTCTGGCCCAGCCCTCCAGAATTTGCCCCAGCTTACATCTTGCAATTATTGGGCCCGTTTATGGGCAGAGTGTCTAATTGCCAGAGCATGTTAAGGAGGCACTCCCTGAGCAAATAGGCTGAGCACTTGCTTTTCTTCGCTTCCCTCTTTCCTCCAGACGAGAAGGAGCTGAAGGCTCTTCAGTGCCAGCGAGGTAAGTGGGTGTCCCCTTCCTATCCATTTTTTTCTCTGTACCTGTGAAAGCCAGTGCTGCGGCCAGGCAGAGGGGGCAAGCTCAGTCCCAGACACAGTTCTGGCATCTGCAGGGTCTGCTTCTAACCACGGGCAGACAAACCTGCCTTTGCTTCAAAGTGGGAGACACAAAAAATTGGTCTGCCCTAAAATAGGCTTAGAAAAATTGCTCCTCCAAAAAACATATCAAGGATGGGGGGAATCCAAAAAACATTTCAAGGGGGGGAAATACCCGCCCAATATTAAGAGCAGCCCCCATCCCCAACACGCCATGCCACACCGCAACCATTTGGCCTGCTCGACTGGCTCCAGCTGCCAGTTGCCAAACGGGTGGTGTTTTGGCGAAGGCCCTGGTGAACAGAGTGCCAACATTTCTTGCCCTCTGCTTCTGCCCAGGCGCTCGAAACTGCAAAGAGCTCTTGGCCAAGGGGGTGGTCCTGAGCGGCTGGTACACCATCTACCCCAAGGACTGCCAGCCCCTGCAGGTGCTGTGCGACATGGACACCGAGGGAGGCGGATGGATTGTAAGTGCGGCGGTGGGCAAGCCCAGGTGCGGCCAAGGCGTCGCACCGCTTCTTACCCCCATGCCACGGTGGGAGGCTTTACAACAAACACATTTGGGATTTTACTGCTGGCCCATCTTTTGCCAGAAATCAAACGCACCAGAAAACCGAGTCTTTCTCAAGACGAGGATGGTGGCCGGAGGAACCGTGGGAGGTGGCCCAGCACACCTGGAAGCCCTGTGTGGAGACGGCTAGCTCTGAAAACCAAGGGAAAAGGGATGGTTTATAATCGGGAAGTGGTGGATGCGGGCAGAGAATAGCTCCCCTTCTCATATTAGAGCAGGACGGCCTTTTTTGATGAAACTTCTGGTCACCCAAAGAGTGAACTTCAGGCGGAGGACAGAAGACCCCCCCTAAGTTCGAAGTGCCACCTTGGCTGTCCAAGCGCTGGCCACAAACTGACGGAAGAAGATTTTGCCTTTCCTCCCCAGTCCCCACATCTGGAGTCAGCCAGCCCTGCCCTTTGCCAGCATCTCCCAGCCACAGCAGGGGCTCCAGCTGAGCCTGCAGCAGGAAGGGGGATGCGGCAAATGTCTCAGAAGGGACTGTCCCTAGTCTCTAGGGCTGTAAAGGTAATGGGGAGAGATGTACTTTCAGACTTGCAAGATTCTGTTCACGTAACCTTGCAATAAAGTAGAATTAGTTCATCTGGGCACGCTCCCTGTCTGGACTACCTCGCAAGGGTGACACTAGCGTACGGGTCCTCCAGGTACAGATGTGATCTGATTTTTATTTTCCGAGGCTCTCACAGCAGGGGTGGTGCTGCAAGACTACCGGCTGAACTGCAGGACCCCAAGAGTGGGAAGGCCCCACCCAGGCCATGAAGTCCAACCCCGCTCAGCAGGGCGTCTCTCTTTCAAGGGCTCTGCCGCCCCAGTGGGTTCTTTGGGGAAATGCCACAGGCAAAGCCTTTGATTTCGGGGCCTGTCCCGGCGGGATGGTTAAGAGGCCCGACTCTCTCCCACAGGTGTTCCAAAGGCGTTCGGACGGCTCGGTGGATTTTTACCGGGACTGGGCTTCCTACAAGAGAGGGTTTGGAAGCCAACTCACAGAATTCTGGCTGGGAAACGACAATATTCATCTGTTGACCTCTCTGGGTAACTGGCATCTCCCTGCGCCCTCCGGACTGCTGCGAGGGGAGAGTGGCGTGGTCCCTCGCTGGGAAGAGCCTCTGGGGGGCCGTCTGCAGGTGGAGCAAGCACCAGAAATGTTGCTGCAGGGCTGCAGACTGACCCGTAGCCCTGGGCTGTGGGGTCTCGGTGACAGAACAGTGTGCAAAGGGAACCATGTGCCTGGGGATTTATACAGGCGCACATCCTTAATTCTTCAGTTTCATCCTAGGAGAGAATGAACTGCGTGTTGACCTCACCGATTTCGAGAATCAACATTCCTTCGCCAAATACGCATCCTTCCGGGTAGCGGGGGAAATCGACCAGTATCGGCTGGCCCTGGGCACCTTCAGCGGGGGCCCTGCAGGTGAGCCCCTGAAAATGTCAAGGGGGGCATAAATGCCCTTCTCCATGAACCCCCCCCCCGGGCTGGGCAGTGACGGGCCCACAAATGCCCACCTTGGCTGGCTGGATGTGGCCTGGGCTGAGGGGCCTTCCGGGCACCCACCACGCACCCTTCCCCCCAGGCGACTCGCTCTCCAACCACAACAGCATGCCGTTCTCCACCCGAGACAAGCAGCAGGACCCCCAGAACTCCAAATGCGCTGAGGTGTACAAAGGGGCTTGGTGGTACAACAACTGCCACCTCTCCAACCTCAACGGAAAATACTGGCTCGGAGAACACAAGTCTTTTGCCGACGGCATCAACTGGCAAACCTGGAGAGGCTACAACTACTCCTACAAGCGCTCAGAAATGAAGATCAGGCCTCTGGTCTAGGCAGCGCCTTCATCCTTTCTTTCCGAGGGGTCCCAAAGGGCATCTAGTCCATCCCCGCTGGGTGTAGCCTCTGCTTTTGATTTGCTACCTCGACAGACAGTTTGCATTTTATTCCTGCTTCGCTTACAACATGATTAAATGGCCAAAAACAGCTACTCCCGAGTGTCACTGCAGGGGGTGGGGGGGCTCTTCCACTTGCCTCCCTTCATCTCAGGAGAAGAAGTCTGTGTTCTCTTAGCCTGGAAAAAGGTTCCTTTAGGCTTCTGCCCAGAAAGATGCTTCGACCTCCCTCACTGCTCACCTTGGGCTACCTCTGGGGGGCGGGGGGGCTGGAGGTCCCATAAGTCAGCACACTTCTTCAGCTGCCTCCGGGTCACTGCATAGCTGGGTAACGAAGCCACAGCTGTGGGAGCCCAACAAGAGAAAGATCACACTGAGATCGAATTTATCCCCAGTCCGAGTGGCCGTCCATCAGAGTTGGGATTGCAAATGCCAAAAGGGGAAATTTGATCTCCACCAGGAGCCCCGCTGCTCAGAGGTGGGTCCCTCCAGCCCTGTTACAAGGGACCGACCGACCGTGCGGCCTCCCAGACCAAGGCGACCCGATCCACGGATCTGCTGAGATTAAAGGGGCAGAGCGTTCTCTGGAGATACCAACCCAGAGAGAAGAGGGCGCTCCAGGGGAGGGGAAGGGGTTTCCTGAGAACGGCAAAGCTCGCTCCGGTACCTGCGTGGACACACAAGCAGAGGCTCAGGCGGCGCCTTGACCGCCAACGCGGACCCGCCTCCCCCCAGACCTGCCCGGCTCCAGCGGGTATCGCCCCACAAAAGCCAGGCAATGATCTGGGCTGCGTCGCTTCGGATTAAAAGTTCGCCGGGAGTCCCTCTGCATTTTAACGCGGAGCCCTTTGGAGGCTACGCTTCTTGGGCAGGGGAGGGGGAGGCTGCCCGCACAGCTCGGGGCAAACAAATCGTGACATGCGCTTACAATGTCTAGCCAAAGCTTGGGAACCCCAATGCCTTCCCAGCTTTACTATTCGATTTCTGGTTCCCGTCCGAACCTCTCCAGGGACCCCCTTCTTGCCCCGTTTATGAGGATACAGCCGAAGGACGCCACAGCCCGGGGGGCGGGAGGCTTACCCAGGAGAAGCATGGCCAGGCCCTTCAGGCGCACGAAAGCCTCGCAGGCGGCGTATTCCTGCGGGCAGGAGAGAGGCGCGGGGGGTCGGGGCGGGCCTCGCCGCCCAGCGCGGCTCCCCATCCACGGGCCAGCGGGGCCCCGCT